CGATCCGTGGACATGCAGTTGCGCATAATCAAGGGACGTGCAACTATAGTTGCGCGCCTATAAGTAGACATGGAACCGTACTTACAGGCATAGTGAAAAAGAAGTGCAACTAAATTTTTGGTACTAACAAGATCCTGAGAGGTGGGTGGAGAAAAAGCTCAAAAGGCTTCACTAGTGATAAAAAAACGGTGTAGCTGAAAAAACATAGGAAAAAATCAGGACTACACAAAGAAACTTCGACTAGACAACGGATCTACTCCCTCTGTAAACTAATACTCCCTCCGTTCGGAATTACTTGTCACAAAAATAGATGTATCTACAACTAAAATACATCTAGATACATTTATTTCTTCGACGAATAATTCCGAATGGAGGGAGTATAAGATGAGAGAGGCTATATGATGGATGAGTTCACATGCTCCTGTTAGGTGGACCAATGAAACAGCGTGATGTTAGAGCTGGCATTTACTGGTTGGAGAAACACATGTGAGTTTGTGCAGGGAAAAGGTGGGCATGCGGGTGTGGGCCCGTATGAGGAAACAACGGCGTGGATGGCTACTAACGACGCTCCATCGCTACAGGTACATCACACAATTTTTTTCAGTTGGGATGCAATACTTCGTGTGTGTAAGGGGTCTGGTAGAGATGTTCTAACAAGACACTTCCTCTAAAACCAAAGGCTAGCAACGCAGCTAAAAAAAGATAGCAACACACCTCGTGAAAAAGCTAGTGGAGCGAACGCTCTATTGTTTTTCCAGTTTTATTTACACTTTATGTTTGTTTTTTTCTATTCTCTTGTTTAAAATACATGTGCTAAAAGATATAAATATTGGACGTACGCTAAAGAGTGGATATAAAAAAGTTCATGTCTATTTGAAAAATATTTGTATATGTTTGTAAACAATGTTCATCATGTATTCTAAAAATTCAGCATGTATTTATAAAAAACATTTCGTGCACTAAAACTTATTCATAGTGTAATTTAAATATGACCATCGTATAATATTAAAATGTGTATCATGTGTTAACACCTTTTATAGTTGCATGGCCATTTTTTTAATATGTGAATACTTTTGATTTTTTTCATTGTGTATTAAAAAATCTTCATCAATTTTTTTAAATGTTCCATGTGTATTTTAGAAAATCATTTTTGTATTTCAGAATTGTTCATAGTTTAATGCAATACCATTATCATATACTCAAAAGTGTTCAATGTGTATTAAAAATGTTCAAAATGTATTTAAAAAATATTCAATATGTATTAAAAAGTAATATATCTTTAAAAATAGCGTGTGCTAAAAAATATTCGTTGTGCGTTTTAAAAAGAATCATCATCCACTAATATAATGTTCATAAAAATAAAAATGTGCTCGTGTATGTACTGTAAAATATTTGCATTTTTCCCAGAAAAAACTGTTTTTTTCAGCGTGTGCTGAAAAATCATCATGGTGTATCTTTGAATTTTCAATATATATGATATAAAATGATCAACGTATTAAAAAATTCACCATGTATATAGAGTATGTTCTACATGTCTTTGAAAAACAAAGTGTGTTCAATGCATTTTCACCATGTATTTTAGCACATTTAAAAATTATTCACCGTGTTTTTAGAAAATTATTTGACAGATCTTTGAAAAATGTGCAATGTGTGTTTTAAAAAAGATGCACCGTGTCTTTTAAAAATATGCAACGTCCATTTGACAAATATTGAACATGTATTTTGAAGAATGTTTAGAGGGCATCTAAAATATGTTCAGTGTGTATTTGAAAAAAATGTCAACATGTATGTTTTAATAG